GTTATGTCTAAGAATATATTTTACAGTTGCTAACATTATAAAGACCAGATGCAAGGGTTCAGAGAAAGAGAAGTTATTAGAAATTACCTGCAAAAAAACAAAAAACAAACAAACAAACAAACAAAAAAACCCTTTGTTCCGAGTTTCAATAATTGTTCAATTTTGTCAGACTCTGTGACTCAATAAGAAATATTTTTTTTAGTCTGATGTTGTATCAGTACAAGATATGCATTTACAGAGGTTGCTTTATACACAAATATCACCAAGCACAATGCAAGTTATTCTTAGTTAAGTCTTTATTTCCTGCTCTGAAATCCCCATGCTCCCATTTAGCTCTTGACTTGAGGATCAACATCCTACTGTCACTGAGTTCATCAAAAAAAAAACAAGATTCTGTGCCAGTTTGAGAGACACATCAAAGAAGCAGATTTACTTAGTCCGCGTACTTTGTTTTTCTCTCCAGTAATTTCAGTGTTACCATGGCAAATTCAAATAACGTCTCAGTCATATTTCATTACAGCTTCACTTATGCTTATACATGCTCATACATTATCATATTAGCGGCTTCATGTCACTGTATGTCACCAACGTACGTGCTATACGGACGATATCAGAGAGGTAAATCTAATTATCTTGACTCTAAGCGAAGGTCACTGAAGGATTATGGGAGTTTAAGTAGTGCATTCTATTAATGGTTTGTCACCTATGGGTTTTATCAATTCATTATCTACCATTATGGCTTTGTGGAATCTGCGCAATCTAATGTATTGTAGAGAACATGGAAATTCTGCAGATATGGCTCCATTTTCAGATTCTATTCATGGAGAAAAGCTGGGGATTAAACCAAATTGTCACACGAGTTTGTATCCGCGCAGCATCTGGATATAACAGTAAGTAAGTGGGAGGTGAAAAGACTGTAAGTTGCCCCCAGGTGCAGAGAGGTCTACTTGGAACATCAATAATGCATGGAAAAGGTGGTAATTTATTCCGACACAAACTCCTATTTGTGACATGTCGTCTTATTGTTTGGAGGCGCAGATGTTTTGGCATGCCAGAGGTATAATGTTTTCCGATATAGAATTACGCTAACAAAATCATTAAAAGGTGAAAGGTTATTGGAAACATTACTACTACCATTTTACTCTACAGTGTTATTATAGATGTTATCTACTGGGCCAAATAAATACATTTAGAATCACAACAGAATTAAAGAAACATTAACTATACTGAAGTGACAGGCTACACGCATAAAAGCCACACTATCCTGTTTTTCTTCTGCAGGTTCTGCCACTTGTTTGTTTATGTTATGCTTTTAGTGAAATATTTGAAAGAGGGATGGGCATTTGATAAAAATGTCTTAATCGATCGTCGTGAGAATTAAGAATCGATTTCAATTAAATTCAATTTCATCAAACAATCAATTAATCATGAACACTTTAATATTAAAATTATCATCATTATCATTACGATTACTAATCTGCATAAACTCAATTTAACAACATACAAAACCATAACCACTACAGAGCCACATCAGTCCATTTGAGATTATAATGTGTTTAATGCAGCTTTGCGCACATTTGTTTATATTTTACAGAAACTTAAAACCACATGGCTAATTTGCATAAACTATACATGCTGATATAAACAGCTCTTTCCTTGTGCGCTAATGTGGTCAGCTTCTGTCGGACTAAAGGACATGACTCAGTGGAATATGAGTGACAGAGGGACGTTGATGATGCTGATGGTGAGTCTGTTCTGTGTGTGTCGCGTTGGAGATGGTTCATGTTTTCAGAGATCAGACGTGTGCAGGTTTAGCACAGCTCTTAACATTCATTTCATTCACTTTATTTATGCTGGTCACTTTATTTATTTTGGCTACTGTTGTGATGAAAAGACTGAAAAGTGTTTTGTCTTTTGAACGTATGTGCACTCAACTTTATGTTGAAATACTGCGTAAACATGCACCATGGCGAAAGTGGGATACTCCAAAGACTCGATCATAACCAGGATACTGAGGTTCATTGAGTGGTTAGGTGATCTCCAAGGAGGTGTGCCAGAGTCAAAATGCAGGACTGTGAGGCTGCAACTCCAGTGTTTGTGCTGTCAGACTCCTTACACTACGCTACGTACAGCAGCCTACATTCGGTTTGTTGATTAAAAATGAACGTGATCGATGAAATTCTTAACGATCAGTTATCGATGAATCGACTAATCATGCCCATCCCTAGTTTGAAATGACACTTATGATGCCAGACTTAGACCACCAGTCCAAGTTAGCAGTCAGATGTGTTGAGAGTTAACAATTTAGATAAGTTTAATGCCATACTAAAGAGCATCCCTTACAAAGCATTGGCATCTCCCTGAAGTAAAGAAGGTGCTAGATGCCCCACTTTAAATATCTAGTGCACCTTCATATCATATAACCGCTATTAATTCTATTGCTAGTATATTTTTTTCCCTTTGACATGACAACAATACCATCACTACTTATTTTTGGTTTCTAAAATTATGTTCAAGTAATTAAAAAAATCCCCTAACCTATCACTACGCCGTGAGCATCACCATAGCAACGGATAAACAAACTAACTACTGTTCAGGGACTAGCTTCAGCTCAAACAGAAATAACTAATGCTTTGAACATCCACAGACAGCTAAAAGGTTGTCAGATTTGAAAATGAACCGTTTTCAGTTGGTGGGACTATGATATAAGCGGATTAAACACCTTACTTAACTTACTCAACTGGTAACTTATTCTATTTTACCATGTATTTCCTCTCTTCTCACTGCTGGGGTTTTGTACGAGTGGATGTTTTGACAGGCTGGTCATACATACCTGCTGCTGTATCCAACATCGCTATATAGTTCTAGTTCCAGTGTCTGTGTGAGCCACTGTCACCTGTCCTCCATCAGGCCCCCGCCCTCCAGTCCTTTCCCCTCTCTTCCGTGGTCCCCTGGTCTCTCTCCGCTGTTTCATGTCGTTCATTAATGGATGCCTCAGGGCCAACAATAGCTCACTGCAGCCTTTTATTACTGTCACTTCACTCTCGCCAACGTCAAGGTCAAAATCTGCCACTGCGTCTTTCACCTGTCACATGCAGCCTGCTGACATCTGTGTTACGGGCTATGACCAAGAAAGACTAAATAAATAAATAAATAAATAAATAATTGGAGTGGGTGGGGAGTTCTACAGAATGACACAAGTAAAAAACACATCAGGAAAGTTGCCATGTGAACAGATGTCGTCTGTTCTCTGTCCTTGATTAACCACAATGAATACAGCTCCTCAGAGAATGCCATATCTGTGGGAAAAAATATAAAAGCAATCTGTTTCAAAGAGATTTTTACTACACGGTTATTAGGTTTAGAAAAAAAAGGTGTTAAAAGAAAAAAAAAAAACAACTGGCTGCTACGAAGTAATTGGCCAAAGTTGCACGGCAATCAGGCTTTGTTTCTGCTGGTTGCTTGATCATTTGGTTATAAATATATACATGATACATATAATACAAGTACATGACTAAATATTGGTTTCCAGGTTGTATACTAATGCACAAATTCATAGGCTTACATTTGTGTTTCCTAAAGATATGTAGAAGTTGTTGTCATGTTACAAACTTAAATTCATTTCTAAGGAACAGTGATGCGTCGAGATGATATCAGATATAGATCCTGATAATGGAAAAATGGATGGGATGATGGCTTCCAAATCCTGGTTCGACACATATATATATATATATATATATATATATATATATATATATATATATATATAATTTGATGTAATAAGATTATGTCTGTGGTTGTAGTTGGTCCAGAAAGTCGTGTGTCATAAATGTGCAACCACAGACACGCCCCCACGCAGACAGAGGCAGAGTGTGAGATGTTAGACTCACCTCGGCTCTGGTCAAACATTATTTAATGTCAAATGAACTAAACATGCTCCCTTGTGCACAACATTATTTGTCTTGACGATAAGAAGACAAAACACTTAAACTTTAAATGCTGAAGCAGTGAGAGAGAGAGAGCGCTGAGTGAACACCTCCTGTTGATTGTGTATGTGGCAGCACCTCATATCTCTTTGCACTATATAGGCAAATACTGGGACATTTCGCCATTTTAAATCACAAAACTCACCACAAATCACAAGAAATCACCATAATAGGTTAAATAACAATATATATAAAATATATAGAGTATTAATTTATTCTTGTTGACACTGAGCAGATTTTTAACCAATTTTTGTGTCCTATGTGTGTATGTGACAACTCAAATCTGTCCTATTGTCAGACAGAGCCAAAAATACTGTTTAAATGCCCAGGGGCATAGTTGATTCCCAGATTCCCTTTCTGTGTCACTTTGTATGTTCTCTCTGTGTTAGTAGGTTTCCTTAGTTCACTCCAATTTCCCTCTGTGAGACAACCCAAACGAGATTCCTAATTATGGGAACCATAAAAGGTTACAGAAAATGCAAGGGGCCAGTTCAAAAATTACTTGAACCTTGTTAAAATTTTAAAAAAAGTATTTCTTTGTGCTGTAAAAGAGAAAGCATTTACACATGAAGTAGATCATTCTTGTTGTATGTATAGGTGACTTGTGTAAGATCTCTAATCTTTGCTTTACATTTTAACAACACATTATCAAAACAGTCCTATTTATCTAAACAGACTTTTCAAGAAATCTATTGCCTAGAAGTTGTGTACAGTTTTATAACACTGTTACCCAACCATTTGCTTTGGCGATTAGCACTGCTCCTGTGACAAGCTGAACAAACAAATGGCTTTTTAGTCCAACTTCAAGCTGACAACCACAAAAACGTCTGTGGTGAAGTTTTACGTATTGAGCAACACTTAAAATGACGTTTCACTTACATTTTTTTCCCTCTCAAAAGGTGTGTTTTATTACTGATTCCAGGAATGTAGTTCTGTTTTGTCAGGGGTATCTGAGGACGCAGCATAAAAGAAATCTGTTCAACCCCTAATGAGGACATAAGCAGGAACAGGAAGTGGAAGAACTTTGAGCTAACTCAAGAGAACAGAAACATATTTTTGCAGCATTTAAGACAGTCTGACAGCCAATTACCATCATCTTTTCTATACTAAAAGTACTTTGTACACAGCCCAAGTTGTAGTTTTTGGACTTTTTAAAGAAGAGGGCTATTTTTCTGGACTGTGATTTCCAGCAATATTTCCTTGTCTGCTTTTGTCGATGTGTTGTTTTTAACAGGCTCACCCATGGGGCTCTTGTACTCCTGCAAGCCTCGTAGCCTGTGCTTACCAACTGAGGAGGAATGCAGAGCAGAAGACTACAACAGGAGACATTGGGTGGACCGCTGTTGTGACATGTGCTGCCAGATGTGTGTGTATATGTTCGCTGGTGTGTGCAATAGGGACTGCAGCTACACATTTTGCACTCATTGCCTCGGCCTGGCTCAAAACTGTATCGCAATTTTCTCTGGACAAAAAGCAGCAACAATAGCAGTGCCTGGTGAGTACAGGGTTCATAATTTATATCATACAAACAAGTCCAATGGCCAACCTGTGTTATTTTGTGCATTGGAAGGGAGGGATCCTGAGGAGTGTGTGTAGAGAAATCCAACCATTTAAGTGCACTGAAGTGAGACCCCTCATCGACACAAGGTAATTAAACGCTAGCTGCTCTTTCTCTTCTGGCATATGTTGAGGGATTTAGTTGTAACTTTGTGTTTTGTATGCACATTTCATCCACAGACTTGGAGTTGACCCATTTTCTTCGCTGGTCACAAGAAGCCTTTGTAATTAACGGTGAAGCGTTTTTTGGCGAATAGAGGAGTCATTCTTTCAAGAGGGGGGAGGCAACTATGGGCCTCAAGTAGGGTGCATCTTGGACAGTAGAACATTTGTCAAGGGATAACACTTTCACATTCACAATTTAACATTTTGACTGTGAAATAAAACTTGATTTAACTGAAGAGCTTATAATAAGTTGCATCACATGACATCATTTTCCCAAAAGCTTAATGGAGCACTGCGTAACATTTCTAGTGGAGGGTCTATATGGAGATATAAATATTAACAATTTACAATAACATGGCCAAGAGGCACAACTCCACTCAAAGATTAACAGAATGTTTCTATTTTTATTCTCTCTAATATCGTTTTATGTAAACTATCAGGTGAAAAGTGTCAGTAACGCCATGGTACAAATACCTTTTTATACAGAATTATTTGTATAGTTGTGTTTTAATAAAAGGTCTTCAAATCTAACCTGTTTACTTTTTGTTTTTACCTTTTTTTCATTTTGTAAATACAAAGATTAAAGAATTATGTTTTTGTGGGAAACTTTAAAGCTGCACTGTGCAACTACCTCCTTGTCTCCAAAGAGATGCTATGGCTTTGCCTTGAATGTTCCATGGTATGACTTTAAACATATCTATCTAGCATTTATTCACTCCGAGTGTTTCTGTTGCTCAAAAATACAATAACTCCTGTGAAGTGAGACGACTCTCCACAGATCCGAATTGTAATGTAGCATAGGGTAACCTGCTTGTCTCCCTCATGATAGGTTTAATCTATACTGAGGAACATTCTAGATAAAGCAATAACATTTCGATGGAGACTATCAGGTATCCACTAGAAATGTTATGCAATGCACCTTTTAAGTACCTACAGTATCAGATTTATCATAGAATTGAATAGCAATGCAACGCTTACTTAAAATGTAAAAATATTTCTAGGTCATTTTTTCAAATTTTCATTCTAATAGCAAATAAAGAATGCCAGTGAAAATTTCTTGAATCCCTAAACATAAAAAAACATGTAAAGTCCACTTTCTCACTATTTCAAACACATTTAAGAAGAGTCAAAGGAAGTTGTAAGTACACCCAAGGCAAAGGTCCTGGCCAAAGCTATTAGCAAAATGGGTGTCTGCCACATTTCTGAAAGTGATGGGTCTTGAAAGAGAAGAATTTAATCGCGCTGTTTTTGACAGAATGGAAGAGTGGCAAGATGATGACAGAAAAGGGCAGTGAAGCGCGGTGGATTACAGCAGGACCAAATACCGGAAAGAAAATGTGTAATTCTTTGTCTTGTGTTAACTACGTCCAAGTCCCACACCTAAAGACTGCCTGCACTGGTCCAGATAAATGTGTTTAAAGGACCAATCATGTAAACATTACAGAGAAGTTGTACAAGTCTAAAAACTTTTAAATTATTATATGTATAGGAAAATGCAAGGAAGAAAGCCCTGCCTTATTCATGGCAACTTAAGACAAAAAAATTATTGAAAGATAAATAAACACAAGCCCTGCTAACTCTATAGACTCTATATATAAATGGATATAGCTAACCCAAAAGCCACCATGTTCCAAATAGGAAGTGAGCATGGGGGCGATTCTGGCTCCATCACCTGTCACCTTTCTCTCTGTAACATAAATAAATACATTTCTCTATCTACTTTGGCTCCAAATTCGCTCCTCTAACTGCTGGCCTTATGAGCTTAATTTCACTGGAGCCTAACGCTATGAGTGACATCACACTCCCTTAGTCCACTTCTTTATACAGTCTATGGTTAGCTAACAAGAACATCCAAAGCAAATTAAGCTGATTTATCAACCCCTAGTGGTTGGAGTTACTATTTTCTATTGTCATAGTTGACCCACTTTTCTCAGAACTAACTTGTGTCTTCCTAGTGCAACCTCATTGGGCTAGGGGTCAGCCTGAATCCTCATAGCTTGTGTTTTCCCTTTGAGTCTTCAGTGTGCTTACTGGGTGGATTTCATAATGCAATAACATAGGAATCAAAGAGTTGAAGATTTGAAGGGGCAGGTATTAGGAACCCAAACCTTTGGGATGAGAGCTCTAACCACTGTTGCCAGCATTACACGATGTTGATCTAATAACTTAATAAAAGAAATGGATCCGCAGACTTCCTGTTTGAAACGGCAGAACTGAAAAATTTCACCATTATTGAAAAACAGCATTTTTAAATGTGGCATTTTACAAAGTAGTTTGTACAAAGCTGTAGGCAGAGATAGGGGGTAGGTGAAAATGGAAATTCTCTGAGTACTACAGCCTCGAGAGCAGGAAAATACAGGAGTACTCAAACATGCATCAATCCAAATGCAACTCTGAGTAAGCTAATGGTGAGGAAACACTGTTATATGGTTAAAAGCAATTTTACATAATATGTCCCCTGCAATGCAAAGCACTGATAAAAAAAAGTTTAATGAATAAATCTACACTAAGTTTTCATAATGAATGGTTACCTAATGTATCATCGGTGACCATTCATAGTGTATCTAGCTCAACAGAGAAAGATTAGGCAACATCGGAACAAAGCAGTCCAGGAGAATGTTTCATAAAAGTCATTGTGAACAACAGGATTTATAGCGGGACAGTGGAATTAGATTGCATTGGAGTGTGCAGGTGTGCCTCATAAATAGTTGTCAGCAGAGGCGGCGCTGGCATGAATCTTAGGAGTCATTTAGGCACTTTAACATCTCATGTTATATGATCAGGGTGTTCTTGAGCTGGTATATGCATTAATTATACTGGGCCTCTCCATATGCTGCAGTTCTGTTAACAAATGGCACACACACACTCGGCCATAGTGAAATATCAATTCACACACAATAAAAAGCCCCCGGCATGAATTTCCAGAGTTAATTTTAGCCAGACTAGACCTGCGGATAGGACGGAGCATGCAGTGGAACGCTGATATCAGATCTGAACATCACAGATTGATGGAGCAGCCGCTGTCAGAGGAAGAGGAAATGAAGAAGCATAGACAGTTTGACAGCAGTTGTAAAAAAGCCAATGTCTGGCCCATAACAGCAGCAATGTATATGTGTGCATTAACTACCTGTCAAAAACTGGTGAGATGTACCTCTAATTATTCTTGGTAAATGTAATACAATTAATCCTGTAGTACATCTGTTATTATGTACACTACAAAATGCTATCGTGTTTCAGACAAAAATAGACTAAAATAAAAGTATGTTTAGTTTTTTTTCTATTCATTTTGGTTGTATTTCACTTGGTGAAATTTAACTGTGAGTGGGTTTGTATCTCCACAAACCTGGCTTTTATTTATCCAAACACATTTCGTCTTTGTATATTTACAAAAAAAAACCCCAAACACATTATGGATTAAGATGGGAACAGGCCATTGGAGAAAAACAAGTTCAAACATTGGATCAGGGAGGCCATTGAAATCAGGAAACGGGGCACAGACACAGCAACCGTGATGAAGGAGCACTCCTCTTTTCACACAGCTGGGGTACCCTCCTCCAGAGACCACCAGGTCAGCCTGACAAACCTGCCAGGTCTATCAGGCTGACCACACCCACAGGAAGTAACAACACCAGTTACAGTTCTGAAAATGACTTGCATCTAGCAGCCAAAACATGTCAACAACGTAAATACATCAAGTAAATGGTTCTTATTTGAGCTGGAGTGGGATCTCCTCTTGCTCTTTCCCATAGATTGGGGATGCTGTTTCCTTGGCTATAATATTTCACAGTATTTCATAAAACTTATCTCCATGGAATATGTTTGTATGTTTGTTATGGTTTTAACTTTAACTTGTCACTGAAGGTGACATGCTTCCTCCAGAAAGTTAGATAACCTGAAATAAAAAAGTTACTACAATTGCTACTCAAGCCTTCAACTTTCCAGGCAGGTTATACCCAGAATATAAATATTCAAATGGTTTTGAAGATACACAATGTATGCAGCAAAATGATCGTTCATTATCATTTTCCTCCTCTGCAGCTTTTGATGATTGGGCCCATTCAACGTTTCACTAAATGTAAAACAAATGTGAAACCAGGAAAATTGAAAAGAGCCAGACCTGTATTTACAGAAACAGTACTTTGGCATGCTTATTAGTTTGCAGAATAGCTTTACACTTGAGTGCTAACAGAAAAATAATTTGGTTGAACGGGTGGTACAGTGATGCTCATGTCGGAGGAGGTTGCCCGGGGACACAAAGCACCTTTTGCTACTATTGAATTGGAGCGTTTTATGATTCTCTGTAAATCTGCCAGTTTATGGAAAAGTTTAATGATCGCATAAGCCACATCTCCTGTACAAAAACAGCTCAGAATGAGGTGTTATGAGGGACCCTAACATCAGGCTATAAGCTGTGCTCTGCCCCAGACTGGACTGTCCCCATGGAGAGTGGCATTCAAGCTCACATTTAAAATAGTCTCCGTGGTGAAGCCCTATGGCCCTGTCTACACCTTTTTAAAATCGTCATGGTTTATTTTATTCCTTATGGGCATACAGCATGACAAGAGTGATGTATGGGCTAGACAATACCAACCAGACAATTCATTCACCTCATGAAAGAAATGTCTCATGTACTCTGACATTAGCCTGGATGTTTGTGGTGTGTTTTGTGGCTGGTGAACACTGTGACTGTAATATGTGCTTTTTGCTAATTGATTGATAACTTGCCTCTCACAGACAAAGCTATATGCAGACAGAATATTTCAAGTTATGACTGAGAACTGTAATGTTTTAATGTTTATTTATTCACAAACAAATGGAAATATACTTTTTATTTATGATTACATGTTTTGTTTTGGTTCCCAGACCTATCCATTCATAATGGAACTCCCCATGCTTTGTATTGCCAATTTTTCAGATAGTTCATAACAAACCTGGCCTAAAAACCCATTATTAAAACCCCAGCACCTGTATCCACTCATGAATTGTGCTCAGAGTCTGAATTAGTGCTTGCCCATATAAATGAACATATATATCATGGTTGAATTAGTGCTGAATTAGTGCTTGTCCATACAGAGGCATATATATCTTGTATTGTAAAAACATGTAAAAGTGTAAAAGTGCATTTAATGACTAAACTTTAGAGGCTCTGATATTTCAAATGTGGTATGGGAACTTGAGTTGTGTCTTCAATACAAGTTAGCAAACTGCATTCCAAGTTCAGATGTGAATATAGAAATGATTTAGTTCATGTTCACCTTTAGCTATATGTATTCTATGTGGTGAACTTTCTATAAAGCATTTCATTTTCAAAGGAACTCTATTCAGCGTGCACTCTTACAATTTAAAAGAAGTACTACAATCACAACTGAGCCTGAGCTGCTAGTGCCTTAACCTGCATCTATGACACATACACGTTTTTCTAATTATATGGACAGGGCCCTTGAGGATTCAGTTCAGTGAGTCCTTCTAGATTTAAACCAGCAGATTTCAGCATTATAACTAGCAATCCAAATGGGGGACTCATTTCTGCG